TGAAAATCGGCTACTTTCCCACGGCCTTCAGGGTGGCAGAAGTTGTGCTTCTTCCAAAGCCGGGTAGAAATCTGTCAACTTCCAAGGATTGGCGACCAATCTGGCTGTTGTCGAGTTTAGGCAAAGGACTTGAGCGTCTAGTTGGTAAGAGAATGGCATGGCTGACAATAAGTCACCAAGTTGTTCACCCACAACTATTTGGCTCCGTACCAGGACAATCTGCAGTCGACCTTGCATCCTGTGTAATCCATGATGCTGAGGCGGCCATGAGAAGTGGTAAGTGTGCGGCTATGGTCACACTCAACATTCAAGGTGCATTTGATGCAGTCCTTCACAACCGACTGCTCGAACGCCTTCGAGAACAAGGCTAGCCACGATCCCTGTGCCGGTTTATTCAGACATTTCTTTGCCAACAAAAGGTTCAGGTCAAATACCGCGGTGGAATCATAGAAGAGAAGATACTGGAATGTGCAGTACCTCAGGGCTCGCCACTATTGCCACTTCTTTTCATGCTCTACATCGCTGTGCTTTTTGAGAATCACGGTCTTACGAGTAGGTTTGGTTATGCTGACAATGTAGCTATTGTCAGAATTGGAAACACCGCGGCGGATGCTATCTCCGCAGCTCAAGACGACCTCGACAGCCTTATCCTTCTCGCAAGAGAACACAGGATCGATTTTGACCCAGCAAAGTCAGAACTTCTAGTAACCGGAGGAGGGCCTAGAAAGAAAATCAACGCGGCTGATATTTCCATCTTAGTGAAAGATCGCCGGATCGAACCGTCACCTTATATCCGGTGGCTAGGAGTCTGGCTTGATACCCAGCTAAACTTCAAGCAACATGTACAGGAATGGACTAGAAAGGCTAATTATCTAGTCCATTTCTTACGACATATAAACGGAGTTCAACGTGGGGCAGCACCCGGACCTCCGATTCGTGCAGTACATGCATATGTTCTGAGCACAGCTCTATACGGGGCAGAAGCGTTGTGGCCAGGTCTCACTCAAATAACCACACTGCGAGATAAAGAAGTCGGCACTGGAGTAGGCTGGCACATATCTCTATTGGAAAAAACGATAATTAAAGCTATCAGAGTTGCACTCCCAGCGTGGCGTACCACTCCCAATAGCGCTCTTCATCGTGAAGCGGGAATACCCCCGGTATCGATAATTCTTCAGCAAAAGATGCTGCGGTTTGCAGCTCATATGCGAAGAATGGATATCTGGCACCCTCTAGCCCTTTAGGCGGCTGAGGACCCGAAAGAGACGATAGGTCGCTTAGGGCTTAGATCGGGACAAAGAAATCGTTTGTTTAGACAACCAGAACGGTACATGACACGCCTACAAATGAGTGTGCGTCGGGTTCCGACAGCCTAAGGCCCCGGAAAGCTATACTTCCCACGTGCCACTCCAGCATCAATTCCATGTAGTCGAGAAAATGAAGCTAGGTCTGAAAGCATAAAGCGGTGGTTAGCTTCCCGTCCAGCTAACACAGTCTTCGCTTTCTCTGATGGATCATCATCGGGTCCCGAAAAATCAGCCTGGGGGTATGTAGTATACCAAGGAGGCAAGCTAGTTGCAAGTGGCTCCGGCCCATTTCTGGGAGCAGAGGTATTCGACGCAGAAGTTGTAGGTGCCATGAAAGCTTTGAAAGTTGCAACAGAGGTAGGAGAAGACTTACTGATCTGCATTCTTCTGGACAACCAAGCGGGCACCCAGGAGCTCGAAAGAGGAAGAACAAACTCCTCGCAGTCGGTGGTGGACAAGTTTTCATCGCTGAGACACAATAAGCATGTGGAAATACGCTGGATACCCGGGCATGTGGGGATTCAAGGCAATGAAGAGGCCGATAAGCTGGCCAAATCAGCCTTGGAAGCTCCCAATAACCGGTCACTAACCTCAGCTGCGCCCAGTGGAGAAGATCAAGATCTAACATTTGCGGCATTAGGGAGTTGGGTTGAACAGCGTAGCCAAGAGCTCGTGGAAGAGTGGTGGCAGAAGTATCGACCGAAACGATACAAAGATCTGGACCTATTCATGCGTTGCAAAAGACCACCGGGACTAGCTTTACCAAGATGGGCGTACCATCGTCTTATTACGGCAAGAATAGGCCACGGGGACTACGACGACTACCATCGACGTTTCAACCCCGAACATGAAGATCTGAAATGCGTTTGCGGCCGAGAAAAAAGGCCCTGGCATTTTTCAGAGTGCCGACCTGCTTTGCTACGTTGGAGAATCTATGAGAAAATAGCCCCACCTGGGGCCAGGGAAATGATAGGAGAGAAGGGATGGCAGAAGTTCATTTAATTCTTAAATACAAGCAGATGTTACAGTCTGCCGAAGAATGAACAGGGTGGGAGGTGACCACGCTGAGATTGTTTCTGACCCGAGAGAAGATGGGTGTGGAAGATAGGGATGCGGCGTAGGGCACCGTAACTCAGACATATAGTGTTCATTTTTTTTTCTTTTCTTTTGTCGCTTCTGGCTCCACTGCCGGTCATGTAGGTAGCAATGAGCTTTCAGAGCCCATCTACCAATTTTTTTAATCATTTAAGTGTATTCAGCTATGGAGCTTTGGAGCTATGACACATGACCGGTGCTATGTATACATGTTGAATGACTCTTTTGAATTTAGAGACACTTATACTCTGGATTTCATTCGCAAATACCACTATGAGGTATGCTTGCTTACACAAACAGTCGACTCTCCTCCGTAAGTACCCACCAAAGGGTAGTTTCAAATCCTTTGGTTATCCAAGCATGCCTTCGTCATCCATGTATACCAGCACCGCGAGAAATATGATTACGTTTTGCCGGATTCGAACCAGCGATCTACTGTCTCAAGTGGGATATGTGTCCAAGCTATCCAGACCTTACTTGGCAGACCGGCCGAGACGATGTACCACCGCACCATCCAACCATGGCGGTGTCTATAGTGTCGCCTGCACTCTCGCAGCCGAAGTCTTGGCACGCACAAAGCTCAATTTGTAAAAACTCCTTGCCAAAATTCCATCCCCGTCGAGACTGTATCCATCCGTTGCATCATCTTGTGAGCTTGTCCTGAATCTTCTCACGTCCATCCCAGAGAACTATCTCCCAGATTTGTGCGCCACGCTTTGCTTCCTCCGTCGGGTATAAATATCGGCGTGGGCGTGTATTTGGTGACCGGCTGAGGCCAAAGAAAGTTGGCGAGAGGTGTGATCATTGGAATGAGGGTGTACTAGGTAGTACTTGTAGACTTGATGAGGCTTGGGTATGATTCGATCTTTTTTGGAATGAAAATTTGACGTGGTGGAGTTATTTGAATGATTGCCTCGTAGGCCAACTTGTTCGGTATTGCGAAATTTGACTGTACTTGGCTCTGGGAGAATGTTTCAATCCCAGGTTCGTAGATGGCACCACTGACAGGTGTTCAGTCTTGCCCTCCAGCCCATCTACCCGTGTCACGTCTAAATAGATGTTAGGTTCTTCCTGTCACGTAAAAGATTTCAAATTCAAATAAGGTCAAACCTTTTATCCCTACGTCATTCACCTATGAACCGACAGTTGGTGATGAGTAGGGCTTCGACCCTACCATATGATCTGATCGTAGTTAGCTTTATGATAATGGTGATAGGGGAATGTGTTGAGAGATGAAGACGATACAGACGGCGAAAGCGATTGGAAATCCTCGTCGAAGTGAGGACTTTGTTACTCAATCTCAGCCCTGCAGACTCTACAGTGAGAGCTGGAGGTTCGTAGGGGACACCACTCACAGGTGTCGAGAATAGTCCCCCATTCGAGAGCCGTAGATTCATAGATGTATGAATAAATATCTACTCGCGACGGGTACAAGCCCTGCACTCAAAGAGCATGACATCGAGAAGACTAGCTTGTCCAACGACTATTTACGACATCAACTCAGTTTGACATTTGGACTACTCATATAATGGGTGCATTCGCTGATACCACTCAGGATCTTGATGCCAGGGACTTTCACCCCTCGCTCAACCGTTAATTTCCACCAAAGGGAAAACGGGAAAAACCTTTGGCTACGCTAACTTGTCTTTGCCATCTTGTATATAGCCGCCGCGCGAAATATGGCCTCACAGTCCTCCCTTTTTCGAGTGAGGTAGGTGTCCAGGCTACCCTGACTTTAATTCGGGGAGATGACGACCAGGAGGCGGACCATAACATCTTCCATCGTTGCCTGTTTTTAGAGTTTCGATTGCACTTTCCTAAATCGTTGCCTCTGCGCCCACAGACAATCTTAAGTCGAAGACACTCGATAAATGTGCGTCCCTGCATGCCCATTTGTGACCTCTTCACTCGTTCGTCCCACGTCCCAGCTGCCTGTCCTCCCTCAAGAAGTGAAGCCCCATTAGAGCAACGGTCCTCCATAGACCAAGACCCGAACTTTGTAGATTATGACTTGAATTCCTCCTCGCGGGTATATATAGAATCGTAAGTGTGTAGTGGGAGATGGCCGGTTTTTGATGAGGCAAATGCTCGATTGCAATTGGAGTAACGCCATTATCGGTATTCGAGGCGAGGTGGTGTGGTAATATTGAGGTAGAGGACTCGTGAGAATAATAGGTCGGACATTGATGAGAAGTCGTCGATTTTAGATGTGCTTACGAGTGCTTTCGACTTCGATTCGGATGCGATTCTTCTTGGCTATCCCAGATATGCAGAGCATACTGAGCGATTACACTAGAACCACTGGAAGGTGAAGAATTCGTCTTTGCCGGCTACGTGCCATTAAATCTAAGGGAGATCAACATGTCTTTCTCGCTGTATTACATTTACAAGCATTATTTGTTTGCATGAAATTGGTGCTAGTCTGAGGTTAATCTGACTGATTGTCTATCCCTGTATGGAATTATCTGCTAGCACCAGATTTTAGCACCCAGGACTGTGTGCCAGTTTTAATTTTTCATCTCCGGAAGCACAACCTCCATCGACATACTGTGGAACCCTTGACTTACACCAGACTTATCAACCGAATCCACTTTTACGATGTGTCCATCCTGCGAACCGGAGACGGACATCAATGGACATGCTCAAAATCAAAATTCCAATGGAATCAACGGATCATCTGCTGTTTCTCCCGGCAAGAATGACATTTTCACTGATACTTATTCTTCTAGCTAACAAAAGATACAGATAAACACCCTGGATATACTGCCATTGAGACCAAGATGAATCCACATCCTACTAGCTCAAACCCTTATCGCCCTGTCGGTGACTTCCTCAGTAATATCTCTAGCTTCAAAATTATTGAAAGTACGCTACGTGAGGGCGAGCAATTCGCGAATGCCTTTTTTGATACCGAGAAAAAAATTGAGATTGCCAAAGCTCTCGATGACTTCGGCGTTGATTATGTAAAAAAACAAACACCTAGCATTTAAAATAAGAGGCTAATTTTCATATCGTAGATTGAGTTAACATCGCCCGCTGCATCTGAGCAATCAAGAGCCGACTGTGAAGCAATATGTAAGCTTGGTTTGAAAGCAAAAGTTAGCAGTCTAGCTCTTGATCACCTTTGCCCCTAATGACTCAAATTAGATTCTAACACACATTCGCTGCCACATGGATGATGCCAGAATAGCTGTGCAAACTGGAGTGGATGGAGTGTAGGTCAACTTTCGATAATTTACCAGAATGGATCTAATGCATAACAGAGATGTTGTTATTGGCACGTCTTCCTACTTAATGGAACACTCCCATGGAAAGGACATGACCTACATAACAAATACTGCCATCGAAGTGATTAATTTTGTCAAGTCTCACAACATTGAGATCAGATTTTCTAGCGAAGACTCATTTCGTTCAAACCTCGTTGATCTACTTTCAATATACTCGACTGTAGATAGAATAGGTGTCAACCGGGTAGGTATCGCTGACACCGTAGGTTGTGCCTCACCACGACAAGTTTACGATCTTATCAGGACTCTCAGAGGCGTTGTAAGCTGCGATATTGAAACACATTTTCACAACGACACTGGGTGTGCTATCGCCAATGCTTATTGTGCCCTTGAGGCTGGTGCAACACATATTGACACGTCAGTACTAGGCATCGGTGAGAGGAATGGTATCACGCCCCTTGGTGGCCTCATGGCCCGCATGATAGTTGCAGACCGAGAGTATGTTATGGGAAAATATAAGTTGGACAAACTCAAAGATATTGAAGAACTAGTAGCTCAAGCTGTTGAGGTTAACATCCCATTCAACAATTACATCACGGGATTCTGTGTAAGTTTAAAAACCACATATATTTCTTCTTAAACATTCACTTACTTTTCTAGGCTTTTACTCACAAGGCCGGTATTCACGCCAAAGCAATTCTCAAAAACCCATCTACATATGAGATTATAAATCCATCTGATTTTGGGATGACTCGCTACATCCATTTCGCATCAAGGTTGACTGGCTGGAATGCAATTAAATCTAGGGCGACTCAATTAAACATTGAGATGACTGATGTCGAGTACAAAGAATGCACTCAAAAAATCAAGGCACTTGCTGATATAAGGCCTATTGCAATCGATGATGCTGACTCAATTATAAGAGCATTTCATCGAAACATCAAGCAAGCAGAACCCATTGACTTGTTGCCAAATATGACTGAAGCAGAAAAAATTCTTTTAGCAAAGAAGGAAACGGAAATTAAATCCTGTGAAAAGCATGCCATGGACTCAGAGACTGAGAACTCTATATCTAAGAAAATGAAGCCTATCTCGACATGAGAATTCATAAATTTCTAAATTATTATGACAATCCATTTGTAGAAAATTTACGGTCGGGTAACTGTGCTACGTATAATTAGTGAAATTTCGTCTTCTACCCTTGTAAGGTTCGCTTACTCAACTCATATAACAATGAGCAGCTCTAGATTTTACTTCACCAACATAGTATTTCCACAAGCTGTTACACATCGTCTAGCACTCTTTTATCAACTATCAAAGTCGGAGACACGCACAAAACAACCCGTGTAAATGACAGTTCTAAGGTGATCAAAAGTGAATATAGTCAATTCTTTTATGTTGAACATGAAAACTAGACGCTAAAAATCATGCAGGAAAAATCCTGAGTTGGCCAATTTGGCAGATATTAACAAGATTCCGTTGACCTTCGCAAAGACTTATAGACCTCATATTTATGTCACCAAATTGGTTGAGACTACCAGCGCTCGCGAGATAGGAACATAAATTTGCTACTACACCTCATCTATCATAACTCCAGAGTGTCGCTATAATTTATTTCTTTTACAAGCTTGTAATTTAAAACCGCATTATAGACTTATCTACATAAGTTCAATAAGAGTTTATAACTTGATTTTGGTGAAATTTTATGCAATAGCAAGATCGGGTAGATAAATAATTTTCATCACGTGTACATCACTATAATGACTTTGTGATTCTGGAGGCAAGTAAGCCTATGAGTTGTATCCTGCCCGTTTCTAGGTATTTTGATTTAGAATTTACGGCGTCACCTTACTCATACTAATCAAGCGTTTAACGCCAACCTAAAAATTTTAAGCTTTTTATATATTAATTGAAGTAACTCTGCACTCACCATCCAATTACCACACTCATCAGTCTTCTCAGTCTGAATTTCAATTTGTATCCTCCCTGCAACATCATAGTTTTTCGATACCAAAGCCTCAGTTAATTTATTAAGTCTAAGGATAGTGTCTGGCTTGACTGTTTCCTCGTTATTTAGGTGATCAAATAATATATTGAGTCGCTTTTGTGTATCTTTGACCTGAGGTGCAAATGAAGAAGGCGCTTGAGCTGCAACACGTTGCATTTCGTTTGTAAGAACCTCAACCATTCTCTGAGCAGAAGGTGGAATATGAGTCCTATCTCCAGGTGGATGCCTTACTTTTGCTGCACTTTGCAGAGATGAAGATGCCGATGTAGCTGCACTGGGTACGATTTGGGACTGTGGCTGTATTTGCGCCTGCAGAACCGCTGGTTCTACATTTGGATGACCTAATGATTGAGTCGAATTATATGGAGGCATTGTTGAAGAAAACTGCGCTTGAGGGATATTCTGTACTGGAGCGTATTTATTGTTCAAGGGAGCCGTATTACCACTTTTGGAGGAGTCCATGATAACTTGTGCAGCCGGTGGACGAGAATATTGCTGAGTTGCAGGGATAGGGGCATAACGATTATTTGGTGGCCCAGATGGTGGTGCACCGGCTAGAGATGATTGGTAATGTGGTCCACCGAGTTGGTTTATAGGAGGCTGACCAAACTGCTGATTATGAGTCACCGCTTGCGGTACGTATGGTCCAGCCAGCGAGGGTACTGCTTGAGGTGCGTATTGACTAGCTGCAGATGAAGGCCTCTGTAAGTTCTGTTGAGCAACATTGGTGGACGGTGAATTCATACGATTTGGTGCCATGCCTTTTGGAGGTGGGAGTGGAGTGGCTGAAACCTCGTTTCCGTAGAAAGGTGCTGATGGTGGCATAAACATATGTTGTTGTTGTTGCTGCTGATTTGGATATGATGCCGCAGCGGGTATGTAAGACGATGTCGGTTTCCTGTTAAGTGAAGGCTTTACTACCATTGGTGTGTCGTTCCATTGTCCAACTTCTTTTGCGTTTGGAGGAGGTGCAGAAGGGATTGTACTTCTAGGTGGAGCGTTAAATGATTGAGGAGGGTAATTAAGGTCTTGCTGAGTTGACATATTACTACCGTTCTGTTGTTGAAAATTTGATTTCTGGCTATTTTGATCAACTAGACGATTCTCCTGTTCTAGTAGAATAGGTTGATTTTGATAGTCTGTTGGCTGTGTTCGCGCTGGATCCCTGTAGCGGGTTGGGTTTGTTCGGTAATTTCTTGTTGTCTGGGGTAAAGGTTGTGATGACGCAACTTTGGTGTTAGGTTCAACTACTTTGGACTCAGACATTGCCCCTGTGGGACTATGTTTTACTCTTTTACGCGCAATTTCGACAGAGGGGTATGATGTTGGTAGCAAACTTAGATACCTTACAGCTGTTTCTAGTTGACCATTGGCAGCAACAATATCAGCGTATTCGACATATTTATCGTAGAGAGGCGCAAGTTTCCATCCGGATGGTAGAGTTTGTTCTACATCTGTGAATTTGGAGATCTCGCGAAAAACAGTTACTTTCTCTATGAATGTTTGTAGCGAACAAGCATGTATTGAGAATAGCGAGTCCCCATTCATTTCCTCTACCTTGGCTTTGTTGGAATCCTCGATTTCGGCAAGCCAAATAGGGATGACCTTTTCTAGCCTAGATCCGACGAGGTAGCAGAAAGAAGCGTCCTTGTGGGCGTTTTTTTCCATTATTCGGTCGCCTAATGATTCACAAAGATCTGAGAACTCAGTAGAGTCAGCATACGTGCAAATTGTTACCATAGCTTCTTTCCAGTTCTCTAAGTTAGCATTATATACGATATCCCAGAGGTTTTTTCCAATCACTGAGGTAAGCAGACGGAGATAATTTGGGCAGTTCTTCTTTTTGGAGAGGTACAAAGACTGTGCTCTCTCAAGTAGTTCTTTTCCCCCGCAATTTGCGATGATCAAGGCATCAGCAATTCGATCTTCTTTGAAACAGAGGGTCATAGCTTTCTCAAAATCACCTAGTATGAGCGCTTTTGTGATATTTTTCTCCAATTCAGAATCTGTTTCAGAGAGTATGTTAAAAGGACTATCCATCTTGGCACCTTTGGTAGCTGATATATTAGACAAGAAATCTTCACCGTCAGTACCGTCCGCAAATAGAGTGGAGAGCCTGCTGCTACTCTCAGTAGCACCGCTTTTTGTATTATCAGTTTTTTCTTTTTTCTCCTTCTCATCAATGTCTCCTATGATGCCAGTTTCTTTTCCGACATCTGAAAATCCAAGATACTCAATTATTTGCTTTCGGGGATTCTCATTTAAAAGAGACTCTATAACTTTCCAACTGGAATCTTCCTTTTCTGGGTTTTCATGTGAAATGCGATCCTGACAGATGGCTTTTAAATCACCTTTTCGAAGTTCACCTTCAAAGGTTTGGATTAATGATGCAATACTACTATCTGGAGACTGCAAAGAAATCTGGATCTTAGATGACATTTGACGATCTGTTGCAGCTGACTGTAAGCCAAACTTGACAAGTTTGCCACCAAACCCAAAAGACACGCCGGATGGCCTTTGTAACCACTTAGGGGCTTCCTTGAGAGAAAAAGACGCGCCTTGGGGTTGTGTCTGAACCTTAGTGAAAAAATCCTCTCCATCAACAGCGCTCTGAGACTGGGGTTGGATCGCAATCGGGTTGGTATTTTGCAAAGTTTGAACAGAAATTTTCCCGTCAAAGGATGCTGTAGCAGAGAGAGCTGGATTGTGAGGGTGAAACCGGGTCTGGAATGTCCAGTTCGTCACTTCGGGAAATTCACCGAGAAGTTGACCATTCTGTGGGTTCCACAATAGCGTCCTATTATCTTTTCCGCATGATAGAAGGAGCTTACTATCTTGCTGGCACCAAGAGATTGATAACACACCTTGATTGTGACCTTTCAAAGTGCATTCCGGAGCGTTTGAGTTCCTTAAATCCCATAAAAGAATGACTGGACAAGAGTCATCTGGTGTAGCGGTAATAAGCTTTGTTGCGTTTTCTGGGTCCCACGCTATAGCCCCAACAGCTTTGCGATTGTTGTTTAAGCTGAGTGATGCCTTTTTGGTTTTCAGGTCCCAAACTGTCACAATACCCCCGCTTCCCCCTGTCGCGAGGATATGAGGCACTTTCCTGTTCCATGCAATACATTCAAGGTCATCTGATCGTGCCACAGTCGTGCCGAGCCGAAAAGGGTTGTCCATATCATCTATGTCATAAACAAAAAGTTCTCCCTTGGTGCCTGCGGTTGCAAGTATTTGCGGCTTTAACGGATTGAACTGAAGTGACTTAATGGGACCGGAATGCTTTCGAGATTTTGATATGATTGAGTCGTCTTCGCGATTTATAAATTTTTTTGCGTCCCATAGGTATAATGATCCATTCTCTAGGGCACCGGCAATAATTCCTCTAGGATGATTTGCGTTTGGAGGCGACCAAGCAAGATCGTGGAACCTATAAGATATATTATTAGATGTAATTCCAGTAATTTTGTCAATCAGTCTGCAAACCTTGAATCTATGCTACATGATGAGATAGGTACGAGCTCAACCGCTTGACCCGGATCATCTAAACTCAAGTCCCAGAGCTCCAGCTTTGTTTCATCAGAAAAGTCTACATCTACAGCACCGGCTCTAGTTCCTGTGACTAGTAACGGGAGACCCGAATCGGGATTCCAAGCAAAGGCGCCAGTCCTTCCAATGGTACGCAGGCGTACCATTTTGGTGTCTATTATCTTCAAGTTTGTTGTAATTTGTTCCGCGTATTATCCAACCTAGAAATAAATTTTGAGTGAGGTTTAGAATACAGTTGTGAATGCTTTAGTGAGAAAGTCCGATCTGGGTGGTTAGGTGCCAGGTAAATGGATCGTTCAGTTGGACACATTTCATCGGGTCTTGTAGGTCACATGATAATGCCATGTGAAAAATGGCAGGGATGGAAACGAAGGACAAATAAGCAGTGTTCTGGTCAAGCAATTAGTACCTTATTACACCCTAACTACTTCTCGAGATGTTTTCAAAGTAGTCTGCGTAAAAAAGATATACATGACTCTGGTAGCTCATCATTAAAACGCTTCCCTTGTAGCTCTTTTTCAATATCACCATCCCTCACAGCTCCTTATTCGAGAAAATACTTCAATAATCTTTTCGCGCTTCATATCTCGTTTTTCTAATGAGTGGAACTATGAACTTTGTAGGAGATGTAGTAGTTGCAGACATCTACTTGAACCAAAAAGTACTGCACTCGGAAAGGAGACACCTCAGATAACATTTCGCGCGGAAAAATTATATGGATGATGGATTTTTTTTTTTTATAAATTCATAGTGTATTCAGCTATATAGCTATGACACAGTCTCTAATATACAAAATCCTTTGCATCCCACACTCCATGGTATTTTAAATGGTGTTTTTAGTTCTACCCCTTTGTCATCTATTTCGTCCCCCAAGGCACTTAGTAGACCAAAGAAAATAGAGTAATGCTGTCTTGCCTTTCTGTGTTCCAAAAAGCATAGGTAGTTATGGATGATGGATGCATGTCTGAATAACTCAGGGTTTTTGAGACGTCCCCCTGAGGGATATTCACCGATGACGGTTGACTAGGGGTGAAGAAAAAGCCGCCGTAACTTCGCAGTGGTACTTGCAAAAGAAATCTGAGGCATGAGTGCTCTTCTTGTAAATTTAGCAATGTTTTCTGTACTTTTTCCCCGATATTGTGTCATAGCTAGATAGCTACATAAGTAGTTGAAACCTGATGCAAAAAAAAACCAAAAAGTGTGGGAATTCCCTAACACCGGGTTCAGTTTTAGATTTGAAGGAATAGATATCAAAGTGAAGAAATAAAATAGTCCGAAAATCCGGACCCTGTTGGCTTGTAACTTTTAAGTGAATCATAGCCTGTCTCCATAGACATGTTTGAATTATTACCTCATTTCGCGCTTCTATTGAAATTGGAAATTACACTGAAACTCCATAAAATATGCAACTGGCAGGTCATCTCTTAGATTAGCGCATCTTGAACTGTTTGTGTAGAGTTGGCCAGTAGGGAATGATGTACAATTATTGGCAATCATGCTTACCCTCACCAGTTTTCACCCTATTTTAAGCAGTATGAAATAATCGTGGACGCTAAGAGCTTCACTCGGGATATCACTCAAAGATGTAGCGTCGTTTTTTCCGAGCGAAATGTGAAAAGGGCTCCACACAGCCAGACGCACTGCGGTGAGCGTTAGCACGGGGCATAAAACGTCGGCCACCCTCGTCACAAAACTCACGAATGTAAATATGAAATTGATCAAATCTAATCTTCCCAATTGCGTCCCTCACAAGGTAAAGCCGTCTTCAGCTGATGTACCATCTTTTGTTTGCCTCGGATTCCGTCGAGTTCTACCATCCACCAATACCGGGTATTTTAAGAAAAAAAATATTTCTCCAAATTCAAGGTCCTTCAGCTCAGATGCTTCTATCACTACGACACCCAAGCCTGAGTCAACAGAGTTCAAGAAGTGGGCTTTGGACAAACTTCCACGCTCATGCCCTGGCTGTGGGGCACTCACACAGACAATCAATCAAACCGAACCCGGATTCTATAATTTGAAAACACATGCTATATTAAAATTTCTAGGACTGGCTCGGCCCTTGTGTAGAACTAAACAAGATGCAATAATAAGGTCTGCTCTCGAAAATGCGCGGTCATTAGGGGTTGTGGGATTAGAATTCGGGGAACAGCCAGTTAAGAGTAAGAACTAAACCCTCATATGACCTCTCAGGGAACTAAAAGCCTAGAATCAATCACAGAATTGCCAAAGTGCCATCGGTGTCGTAATTTATTGAATCATCGTGTCGGTATATCGATCAACCATCCAACTATAGATGCCATCCGAAACACAATCAACGAGACGCCTTTCAAGTACAATCATATATATCACATTATAGACGCTGCAGATTTTCCCATGTCACTAATACCGGGCTTACATGATCTACTAGAGACATCGCCACTACGATCAAAAAATAGGCGATCCAAAAAAGATAAGTTTTACCATGGAAGAAAAACAGAAATAAGTTTTATCATTACACGCGCAGATCTACTTGCACCCCTGAGAGAACAAGTTAACGCTATGATGCCCTACCTGAGGGAGACTTTAAGAGATGCACTAGGAAGATCAGCCATAGACACAAGGCTTGGTAATGTGCACTGTGTAAGTGCCGAACGAGGCTGGTGGACGAAAGAGATAAAAGAAGAAGTTTGGCGTAGAGGAGGCGGTGGATGGATGGTCGGAAAAGTTAACGTGGGAAAAAGCCGGCTATTCAATAATATCTTTCCAAAGGGCAGAAAAGATATATTTCCAAATCCAACATTCAATCAGTCACACCTACCCTTCTGCGAAAATGCAACAAAATCTAAAGTGATAGACCAACTTGACAGGACTGGTCGTACTACAGACGATCAAACGGTCAGAGACTCTTCAGATGATGGCTTGAATACAGTGGCAAGCAAGGATACATTTCCAGCGCAAGTAATCCATGATGTAAAAATTCCCATTTCAGAGGGCCCTGGAAGTATTGAGAATAAAGGTCTGGATACTGGGGAACTCGACCCGCTTCTTTATCTCCCTCCCCAGCCCGCTGAAGTTGACTTTCCAACAATGCCCATTGTTTCTGATTTACCTGGCACAACAGCCGCACCAATTCGTATCCCCTTTGGGCAAGGAAGAGGGGAATTAATAGACCTCCCTGGTCTCCCAAGAGGAGGCCTAGATCAGTATGTACTTCCAGAATTTAGATCTCAGTTGGTCATGTGCCATCGAGTAAAGCCGGAACAGCATGTAATAAAGCCAACTCAATCTTTACTACTTGGAGGTTTGATTCGTATTACACCCCTTAGTCCAGATATTGTTACTCTTGCTTACGCTTTTACATCTATTGAGCCACATCTCACTCATACCGTAAAAGCGATTGGGACTCAGACACAAACCAGAATCTCTTCCGTCCCGAACCTATCGCTGCCTGGTACGGGTAGGGTGATAGCTTCCGCGGGTATTTTTCCCCTGAAATGGGATGTCACTAAAGTACGAACAGGCCCGATCACCGCGCATGACGCAGGCCGCGTCAAGGTAGAAGACTTGCCCTATAGAGTTCTTGCTACTGACATCTTGATCGAAGGCTGTGGCTGGGTGGAAGTTGTTGCACAAATCAGTAGATTTCGGATCACTCCTCTAATCAAGTCAATGAAACATGAAACAGGCGAATATGACATTGAGACGAGACAGGAGCAGGCCGATCAACGTGCAGATGTGTGGCCTGCTGTTGAAGTCTTTTCACCCCATGGAAAGCACATCGCGGCCCGACGTCCAATGAATGCCTGGGCCATTATTGAAAATCGGAAAAAGAAGGTGCGTAGGTTGACCGGGGCTCGACCTAGGAGACCAATGGCCGGGACCAAGAAGAGAATTTCCCTTGCGAGACGGGCAGTATCTACGGCCAAACAGTGAATTCCATAACCTCCAGGCTATTGTTAATTATTAATCAGTAAAATATCGCAGGCTATATATTGTGGAGGAAATAAACATCACGACACGTATGTTGATACAGACTCTACGCATGGCAAAAATTTAGGCGATTGTAGATAGAAAACATTAGTAAAAACCTGCGTCCATGTAGATGGGAAGTTTATCACTAAATATACCATGAAAGACTTTAAAAGCTTCATGTGCACACTAACAAGTCGGATATTGATCCAATGAAGTGGATGCGAACATGGCGAATACATTAAAAGCTGTACCGTAAGTTTCTCTTTATCCCTTCGCTAGTCTCCGGTTGAAAGCGGTTAGTCTCTCTCTGCCCCTATTTCCCCAAGATCTAATAGTATGGAAAGTTAAGTGCAGTGATGAAGGTCACCCTGCCCAGTGGGGAACTGATGAGAATCTACATTCTTCTATCGTTTTTCCACCAAACATCAATTCTTGTTTAAGATTATTGCGAGGCATTCCCTTGATGTCCTTTATGTTATTACCAGCAATCGCGTCCAGGGTAGCTAGAAATATTATTTTCAGAAAGATTTTAGTCCTGATCCTCATGAGTTTCTTCATGTGTTCGATCTAAAGTCCGGTTGGCCTATTCACTTTCTCTATTGACTTTTTCTTGTGTTGATTCGGTTTCTTCGGAGAAAGCTAAGCCTCCAGGTCCTTTATCTCGATCCTCGTCTTCGTCACTGCTTGTAATATCATCAAAGTCGTTGAAACAGGAGAGCTTCTGAAAGCTAGAATTAACACATAATTGTAAGGATGATTGGTCGCTCGACGTCTGTTTTTCATTTATATCCATCTTTGAACTCAAATTACTCACGCCTAGCATCATTGAGCTGGCAAGTAAGTTGTCTTTATAATTTCCAGACTTCATTGAGGTAATGACGGCATCCCTCGTTCTCTCTGCGGCCTCTTCCTTGGCCTCAATCCATTTCCCATCAACCCTACCCTTGTTTCCAGACCTCAGTTCTTCCTCTCTAGCCTCTGCTATTTCAATAACTTGTTCCCATCGCTTTTTTCTTTCTTCTTTTTCGCGTTTGGCCATTTCTGGTTTTATAGCCAGATATTCCGCCAGCGCTTTTGCCTCATTTACTGTACGTAGCCGGCGACCGTCTAAATTTCGACTTGAAGCATTTTCATCTCCTTGTCCACGTTTTCGTTTTGAGGACATACGACCACCAGCAGCTCGAAGTTGAGATCCAAACCCACCTTTACCACCACATAATGGAACACCAAGCCGTAGTGAGAGAAAATCTCCATGCTGGCCACAAAGGAGGCTAGTGATTGGTAAGCTTGAGTTATTAAGAACTTGTTTGTTGGAGATCGTAGTGAGAATAAAACGGTTATTTATCGTAGGTAAATACCCCTTGATTCGCGCTTGTAATTCGCCAATTGTAGTTCCTGCTAACAGTGGAATTGAAAGTGTTTTTGGGAGACCAAGCCCTGGAAAACTCGTGATAAGTACGTTAATTATACATGGATTCATATTGTTTATTCTTGTCTATAGACTGATTGATGGGGCAGCATGGCCCACTTCCAAAGGCTAACATGACGATATTCGCATTCCGCTGCACGCTAATGATTAGTCATACACTAGCGGCCGCTTGCGTTCTCCCACAAACTAATTTTGAGAATATCTTGAATACGATAACCACAAGTATTCTCTGCAACCGCCACGATGTCAGCTAAGTTTAATCTCTAATCAAATGTGAGAGCTAACAACATACAGGCTGATCCCTAAGGCCGATAGAAAAAAGGTTCACGAGTACCTGTTCCGCGAAGGTGTCCTGGTCGCAAAAAAGGATTTCAGCATCACGCACCCAGACATCGAGACCAAAAACCTTTTTGTAGTCAAAGCCTGTCAGTCATTGACATCGCGCGGATACGTTAAGACACAATTTTCATGGCAATATTACTACTACACTTTAACACCTGAAGGTCTTGATTATCTTCGGGAATGGCTTCACACTCCTGCCGACATTGTCCCAGCAACTCACATCAAGCAACAGCGATCGCATGCCCCGCCTCGTGGAATGATGAGTGGCGAAGGCGAACGTGAGCGAAAACCTTTCGCTGGGCGGGGTCGTGGCGGTGATCGTGGAGACCGAGAAGGAGGATATCGCAGGCGTGATGCTGGAGAGGGTAAAGAAGGAGGTGCACCGGGCGAGTTTGCTCCCCAATTGTAAGTCCAAAAATCTAGCAGAACTTCCCTGAGTCTAACCAATTATTAGCCGGGGTTTTGGTCGCGGTGCTGGAAGAGGCGGAGCTTCTTAGACTTTTTATAATTCTATTTTTGAAGATATAAATATTCTGTCCCTACAACTACTGACATGATCTCCATATGCTGCTTAGTGATAAACTCCTATAAATTACAACACCTTCAATAAAATATCGCAAATCAATACCCTTTGGCTTTAATTTTTTGCATTATCTCTGTATCTTGCTACCCTAACCGAGAGAAAAATCTGTTATATTCCTCCAAATCACCATACACGTCATCAATTGTAGCTAACCCATTAAGAGTAACCACTATGTTACCAATGCTCGAATATAATACAATGATCTCCATAAACCTAAATGCTGCTACGAGCCTCTGTCAAGACCTCTGAAGAGGCCGGCGACATTGACTTTCAGCAGCATGTCCAATACGCAAGTCCCTGAGGCCCCGCCGGCTTAACATTACCCGTCCATCAGAATCTCACCTAAGGGCTTGCAGGTTTTAGCATTTAGGGTAGGTTAGTTGCTGAAATACTTTCCTATCCGTTAATTAAATGTGTAACAATGCAACAGCCTTGTATTTCAACAGTCTTAGAACAGGACTGAATTAATCAAACCTTAACCCATCAAAAACTTCACTTCAATATAGTTGTCACATGTAGAACAGCTAAACGTACACTAGTGTACAGAAGTCTTCAACTAATATGATACTCACGAGGTTTGGTAACCATAAAGAAACGTTCTCAATCTTGATTTGATAGACGAATGTAGGGCAGGTTAAAGCGTTATACGTCAATGTAATGTTTTATTCTTGCAGATCGTCCTTCAGATAACTTCATGTTGGCTAGGATGTAAGCTTTCGGGGTAAAGGTGACAGCTAGTTGTATTGTACATGAATAGATAAGAGAAGTTGCGCATGACAATCTGGCAGGCAAAAATTGTTGTTCATGGCACATTTATTACGAATGTTGTAGGAAAGATATTACGAGTATAACTACTTTTGAAATCACCCCTATCGTACCGATTATCGATCCAAAATAACGGGAAAAGTGCCGTTTTCTGCTTTCGCGTAAGCCTCATCACATCAAAGTCATATCTAACTCACCACGTTGTTCATCCCATCTTTGAGTCCAGGCAAGTGGACATAAGGAGCGGAATGCATGATAGAACTAGCAGCTGTTAAAATAGTTCGGTCAGTTTACTTTTTGACATATTCACTTGACGACATGGCGCGAATTCTTCGCCCCTGGCTAGTATACATTTTTGATAATCAACATAATTTTGCCAGCAGTGTTTTGTCTGATTTTGGTTCGGAAAACGAGCATCGAAGCCTATGATTAATCAATCTTTTCTCTTTGGATCATTTTCGAGGGTCGATTACCAGCTATCACCACCGTTATTTAGCGCTGAGTGTTTATTGACTGTAACTGGGTTCTTACCGGTCACAAATTTGAATGGCTTCGTTTCACAATCTCCTTCAGGTGCTTCCGACATTTTTAATTTAGGAGCTTAGAATGGTAAGAAGGATCTGAACTGTTGTCTTTAGCATTCCGATGAGTAAGCTTGCCTCGCCTAGGTAATTAGCGGCTAAATAGTAGTGCCCATAGATGCTAAACATTAACCAGAGTTAGCAACCCGGCACCATCATCAGGCCTACATCCTCGTGGTCAAGGCTATTGACAAGACAAATACAATGCACCCAACCACGGCTGTGAAAATGTTCAAGACTACAAATAGAATGAGGAGCATACCAGTAAGGCTCAACATATTTAAATTTTTATGCAGAGCATACAAGGCTAACTTTTTATTCCTGAAGAAAGAGGAACAGTCTGGTGCGTAACAAAGTGACCGTTAGCGGCCATATATCTTTGCAAAATATCGTCACGATAGTCCACTAGTGTATCACTCATAATTAACGTTTAAACTAATTTCACAAATAGCTCACACTATTTCCCAACGACTCCGTAATTTAAAAAAGATACCGCCTGAATTAATACCTCTTGGTAAGTGAAGAACATTAGAAGTATACAACACTACCACTAATTAGGAGAAAGGAATGGTTGTTGGTGTTGCTGTTGGGTTTGCAGGTTACTCTTTGTTGAAGAAATTCTGGGTGGATAAGACAATGCGACTGAGCCGTCAAAACCGTAAAGATTGACCCTGAGATACAAACCAGTACTCAAGCATTTTTATGGCCTGTAAACCATGAGCATAGATGCTCAAGGTATAAAAGTGCGTGTTGAATGACAATGGTGAATTTGACAGCTACTAATGCCTAAACCTTTGAAACACGATCCAGGATCGTCCTTGTAAATGAAGTTAGCAAGTAACAGTAAACTAAAAGTAATTGATATTTTATACAGCAGGTTTTGGACCAGCAAAGTCTAACTTCTCTAGAGTCTGCATAGGGTCCTCTGCATTTCCTAGTCCTAAATTTGAATTTCCAGCAACACGTTTATCATCTTCAGCAACGTAGTTCTCTGCAAGCCATCCCTCCTGTTAAGAATGAATAGTGAGCTACAGGTTAAAGGCATTTTAGGATTGACTTACCTGCTCCCATAGTGCAATCTTGCTTCCCAGGCCTTCATTAACATTCTTGGGCGGTTTAGCTGCATTAACTTTGATAACTTTTCCGAAAAATTCAGATTGGTCCATGTTATCAATAGCATCGCAGGTGTCTTCTGCATCCTCATACTCTACATATCCAAATCCCCGATGAGGTTCAGCGGGATTTGGAGTTTCTGATGTGCTATGGATGATTAGTATTCCCAAGAAGCTAAAATTTCTATAACCCACGGTATGGAGACATCTGCAATTTCTCCAAATGGCAAAAAAGCAGCGTGCAAGTCTGCAGCGGTAACGGCTTTAGCCAAACCTCCTACATAGACGGTTGCTTTCCAGCGTGCATGGTCTGTCATTTCGTTGCTGCTTATTTTTTAACACAGAAATTGATTACTTTTAATGTTTGCCAGTATACTCAAATTATTAAACAAGAAAGAAGTAATTTTCATATTTGCATTATGAAATATTGGTTATTTTTAGTATTCGAGTATGGAGAGAAATTGAGCGGATCACCCTACGTCCGAATTGGAAGATGTTTGAGGAAAGACACAAGGGTTCACAAGGGTATATCTGTATGGCACGGTCCTCTCCAATCTGTAAATTCGTACCCGTGACCCCGGATATCCGTCAATATTGAAAAATCTTGTATTATTAGATGTCGAAATAGCTTTGAATATCTAATAAAATAAATGGATATTTTTGTAACGTTAATGATCGTTTTCCAGTTTGAAATTAATTAAGAGGTAAAGGCCAACTCCATTAATTGAGAAAGTTACCTTTGCCTCCTTTGCAATTTCTTTCATTGCTACATCTACTCACCGTTCTCAGTCGGTCGCTAAGTCTTGATTGTTAACGGGCCTTGAGATGAAACTCAAGCGTGTGGTGTTCTCTGGTATAGTCTGAGTAGCCTGAGCACCTACTCCACTTGGGAAGGAAACGCCCAAGATGATATTTCGCGCGGAGATAATTAAATGGATGATGGATGCATGTCTGGATAACTCAGGGTTATTGAGACGTTCCCCTGGGTGGATATTCACGGATAAGGGTTGACTTGGGATGAAGAGAAAGCCACCATAACTTCGCAGTGGTACTTGCAAATGAAATCCAAGGCATGAGTGCTCTGCTTTTAAAAATTGAGTCATCTATTGCACACTTCTCTGACATTGTGTCACAGCCAGATAGCTGCATACGCAATCAAAATCTGATGCAAAAAAAAAACTTTGCGCCCGGAAACATTTTTCCAGAATGCACTACACCGAGTGTGTGTGTTTTATTGTACTACTTAAGTCTATGCCTATCTAATACATTGGGCTCCTTTCTGGTACAGGCCACACCTTGTACAGTACCTCTTGCCTCTCATGTCTCTTGAAAGATCATTGATAAATTCCCCTTGATGAATAGCCATTCAGCTAAGTATTTATCCGTCGAACTTAGCTGTTTTTCCACGGAACCTTCTACCCAAAAAAAAAAAAAAAAAGGTAGCAATGGAAACTGCGTGCGCGGGAAAAAGTCTCAAAAAACCTGCAGCCCCAGCCAAGCGATGCCTAGAGACCGGGACCACATGAGGTGCGCATATTCATCTATATTTCCTTTCTTTGTAACAGTCGAGGCCGACTTGATCCAATCCGCAATCTCCGTATCGGGTGCTGGGTACGCTCTAGAAACTCATCGGATGGCTTTTCCTCCATGACCAAGGGTTGGTGATGAGAAGGGCTCCGACCTTACCATCTGATCTGTTCGTGGTTAGCTTCATGATAGTGGTGATAGGGGAATGTGTTGAGAGATGAAGACGATACAGACCGCGAAAGCGATTGGGAATCCTCTTCGAAGTGAAGACTTTGTTACTCAATCTCGGCTCTGCAGACTCTGCAGTGATAGCTGGAGGTTCGTAGGGGACACCACTGACAGGTGTTGAGAATAGTGCCCCCAGTACACCGAGTGTGGCTATACGTCTCCTATCTAATATAGAACGAGTTGTGTAACGAGTTTTGTGACGAGTGCAAATAATTATTACTACAAGTAAGATTTTATTTTACTTATATCTTTTCTGCTCCCTTTCTAAAGCTGCAAATGTTGTGTCCAAGAATGTGCGTAACCCTGGATCACGGGTCACGGGACACGAGATATTATCATTATTCAGCATCATTTTACACCCCGAGAGACAATCGTTTGATACGTTCGGTCATTGAAATTAAACCCAAATTCAACATAATTTTATGTCATAGTCTACAGTGAGCTACACACAGCATTATTGTTAGAAGATAATCCACGGTAAAAATGACCGGAAGCGTCCTCCAACGAGCTGTAAAAGTGAACAGAGTAAGTGAAGCCTGTCTGGCTCAGAAATACATTCATCTTGACCTCGTATCAGGCTCACCGCTGACTCTAATTGTTTCCACCAGAAGGTACCTAAACCAGCCAATATGTGACCGCTCTACTGTCACTTCTAATACATTGGATAACACCCTATAGTTACTGTCTATCAAAACCGGACCTGGTGCTATGATCTTGCCAGCTGATATAACGCGCCTGCATCTTGCCTTTGCTCGTAATGATTTTCCCGGCAATGTATCACGTCACCACGGAGCGAAGTATGTTATTCATAAGGGATTCCGTATAAGTCGTAACAAGTTCACTATGGCTAACCACCCATGCAGGAAATTCTGGCGCGAGTACTTGCCCAGTCTGAAGTACCACAATCCAACTGTATCTATGACGGTTGAGCGTTCCAGCGAAGCAACGTGTCCGGCAAAGCTGACTATACATTATAATGCTTCAGCAGCTCCTAAAACACTTCCCGAAACTTCAAGTAATGATACTTCGTCAGTACAGACGCCCACATTTGGCAATTCTTTTTCAAATGTATCGCAAACAAAAGAGATAAATATGAAGTCAAAGTCAAATAAAGAAATACTAGAAAGGTTTATCAAGGTTTCAGAGGCAAAACCTGCTGAAATTCTCCCAAGTGACATTCAGTTAAAAGGCTGGATTGATAATATCCAAGAAAAGTCTATCAAAGAAGCTAATATTATGAAGCTACATAACGCAAAAAGAAAGAGACAAGAAGATATGATGGCTGCTGCGCGAGGTAAAACAGCGTGAGGGAAGGGAAATTCAGATTCTAAAAACGGTGAATATACTTGGAGTTAAGGGTTTGAAAACAATGTGAAGGTTATAGATAATGTTGCCTATTGAAATCTAGAAATTCTACCGAGTGATGTGGATAATCTATGAGAGTGCCCTTATCTCCTTTGGTTTATTATATTCATTAGTTTGATTATCTATCATTCTGCTGGGGGTAGGGAATCTGTCCAAGTCCTTAGGTTAATGCATGATCACTTTTAGCTTACTTAAGCCCAAACCCTTCACTTTCGATGACAGCTCTCCAAAGCATAGATTCCAGTCTCTGTTTTGACGAATAGCGCGGAAGTGATAATTGGTTAAAGCATGTGCGCGCAACGGGAAAACGATTTTCGTCATCGCCTGCACAGGATAATTTTATGATAAGGTTAGTAGCTCCCATAGCAGGAATACGGTCGCTGCCTGTGACAAAACTTAGAAGCTTCCGTTGGTCATTCGGCCTAGACGATTCGAAGGTTTCCCAGAACCAATCCAGAACAGGCTCATCGCCAGGATTGACATGATTACCCCAGTTTTCACATTCACAAACAGCTCTAAGAGAAGTAATGTCAAGGGGCTCATCCGAACCACGGATAAGAAGCTCAATTTCTTCTGGTCTGAAGAGCGAAAGCGCGTTGCCTCCACAAACAGTGAAAAATCCTCTTTTGAAGGGTTCGAATTGCCGAGTTACTGCTGTATCTAGCAAGTAACGAACGTAAAGTTCGACAAATTCTCTTCGATTTGCATTTGTGACGGTTCGATTTTCGCCATCAGGACATAGCGGAACTTGTACTACTTGTCCGTAACGATTAAAATCGGCAACAAAATCTCTTAAAAATGTACTTTCTACATCACCATCGTACTCGAGTAGCTGACGCAGGCCGTTGGCTAAAGATGGTCGATACTGAGCTAGATCATCTAGAGAATATGTCATTGATGGTTTAGTATGCGTAGCAGCTCCAGGAGCAGGCGATGGACTAGCAGCGAGTAGCTTTCGAAAAGCAAAAGGGGGTAGAGCAACATCAAGTATAGTCGAGTTGTATATAGCTAGTCCTAGAATGACACCCACAAGGAAAAATTGATCGGAAGTCTCGAAACTGTGCGGATTAAAGTAACACATCCTTGAGTCCTCGTCATAAGTAAACATACCTTTAAAGTTAGTAATGTGAGTTTAAATAACGATATATTAATGTTTTCCTACCGTGTTCGGGATTAAAGACATCTCTCACAAGAAGCAAGAACCACTCTTTTCGGAGCCCACCTGCATCGATACCCTCCTCACCTTTAAAAGTAATTCGCAGGCCTTTCTTTATTTCCTCTCCTCCGGTCCCTACAACTTCACTAATTGCCTTGAGACTGTCCTCGATGAGACAGTCCCGCCTGACACTAAGAAAAAGATATTGATTCACAGTTTTTCGCGTCATGATGCTGTCGAAAAATGCCTCTCTTGCTTTGACTTCCATCTGTCGCCTTGTGTCATATTCCATAATCTGTATTTTAGCCCAAATACTGAGAAAAAAGGGATATTGGCAAAAAGAAAATCTTCCGCTTCGCGACTCCCAAGCTTCAAAATCGGCAATAAGGTCCGAACAATCAAGTAGAGATATGTAAAAATTGCTAGTTGGTATAATTTGCCCATGATAGAAGGCTTTTTCGCGAATAGCTACTCCAATGCTCTGTGCACGCTCTAACCCCACATAGGCTTGGCCATCTCTTTTGAGTCCACTATTATTTGCTGAAAATAGAAGCGACATTACTTTTGCCGCGGCTTTAATTTGCCAATCATCTCCGTAAAAAAAAGTTTTTGTGTTGTTATCTGACTTTTTAGAAACTTTTCCAACAACACCTAGAGCTGCATGAAGTGCTGCTGAACTATTCCGATTCGTCCCACTAATATTTGGAATTAGACCAGCAGTAGGATCTTGTTCAACGTTATTCTTTCTTCCTTGTTGCCTTAAAAGTCTGTACATGACAAAGTTATTAATTAAATCAGTTGTTCGCTGAAATTGACTTTCAGAATACCTAGAAAACCAAGATACTAGATGGCGATGGCACTCGGAAGACACATTTGAGAGAAGTCCCAGAATCCTCTTAATAATTCCTGAATGCTGTCCTGTAGTTCCTTTCGTTCCATTAGTAGGTCCTCGGGGTGGAGACTTGGAACGTGATCGAATCCGTTGCTTTCCTCTTGGCGTAGAAGAGGTTGTATAGAGAAGAGGATTCGCAAGAATTATCAATAGAAATCGTAGGTCATTTGGGGTAGTGAGAGGTCGACCGGGACGTTTTAGTAAAGTTTCAGTCACCTTAAGCAATACTCGTTGTGTATGATATCGAGCGTCCGATAATTCGTCTTCAATTTGATCTAACTCTTGCTCTGTTGGCTTCCTTAACTTCGAAGCTTTTGGGCTAGATTTCGTTAAGAAATCCAAGCTCCTTCGCCACGACCTTCCAGCTTGAAGAACAATATGGTACCACTCGTTAGTTTCTACCCAATCAATTCGGGGAGATTTAGAGTTAACTGAATCTTTTGAGCCACGGATAATGCCAGTTAGTTCACGACGCATGCTTGGATCCTCGCGGACGTTCGAATTTGTCCTATTTCCCGTCCACCACGACCCATTTTCAGCAAAATCACCTAGAAGAAGGGTTTTTGCATCCATTTCTGATATCTCTGTTTCAGGGACTAACTGGTTTGAAGTCGGCGAAGAGATGGGTAAAACACATTTTGAACCCTCACTGGCCGCTCTAGGTGAAAAAACAGGTCTTACAGTATTAAATGAATAGTTGACACATTCAAAGGAGCCAAATGACTTGACTATATACTCTTCTAAAGGTTCAAAAAGGTTCTTGCTACTGATATCTGCTTTCGGTCTGGATATGGTCCCATCGCCCTCATATGAAGTCCTGGGATTGATGTAATGGGGAGAAGGTGGCTTTTGACTGAATTCTTTGACTTTTTGATTGGTATATTTGCCAGCAGACTGCCCCATAGAGTGTGATGTAGATTCAATTCGTTGTAAGTTTGATAGCGAGTTTTCTTGTAAATCTTCAACTTTGATTTGATTATCACCTTTCTCATTATGCGGGAGCGTCGAACCTGTAATGCACGTATGAATTTTACTCTTTTTTTCAAGCTTGATAGCTTCCGGTCGTCTTTCACTACTATCTATGGTATTTGGATTTGATTCTGTGTGTTCCGATGGCGACAAGCAAGGCACCGAACTATGAGAAAGAAAACTTATAAGGTAAGCAGCAATACAGTTTTCAATGATATTTTTGGTTGTTTCAAGCGACAATGGATATACTTTAAGTTAATTAGCTTTTACTCCTCACAATATGATTCAATCTTACCATAATGATGATGATGATGTTGGGGCCCGGAGTCAGCCCTTGGTGTACCTGAGACGGGTATTCTTTGATTATCTTCATGTCTATTCTCTAACTTGATGGGCTTCAAATCGTTAATGGTCATACAAACTGTACATCTGAAGATGTTCAATTCCTTGGGCCATCGGACGTTTGAATCACAGGTCATACATTTTCCTGTTACAAAATCTTTTTCTGCAAATTTTTGTTTTGGAGCTTTACTTGTGGAGCTATTTCGGTTCGTAATAGGAGGTTCTTTATCTTGGTCTGTTGATTCGATACCAGTCGCACCGACATTCGTGGGGGTATCTGCAAAGCGCTTCTTCTTACCAGAAAAGAAAGACGGGAATGGATTACTGATTGATCGAACATGACTAGAGCTTGCTGATGTGAGAGAGGACACCGAAATATTGTTGTTTGTATTAGCATTCGGTAGACCCGGAATGGCAAGGCTTTCCGCTGGTCTAGACTCAATAGCCGCCTGTTGTATTTGAGCATTAGGCGTAGAGTTCCCAATGACGACTTTTTGACCAGCCTGCTCAAAGCGTGGGCTGGATGACAATAAACGGCTGGACCATTGAGGCATTGCACAGCTCTCAATATCACGCTTGAGCTGTGAAGGATAACATTTGCTCCAAGCGCTTCATTGATTGAAAGATAGACTATTTCTCGCTCGTAAGATGTCAATACCTCTATTTTTCGACTGAAGAGATGTGCTGAAAGAATCGAGGTCGTGAGCTCCTTCTTTCAGCAATTCGTAAGCACTAGACTTCCCGAGCCATGACAATGTTGCGATTTAATATAGTTCACAAGTTATCTTCAATTTTCGTTAATCCTGGACACAGTAACAATATTTATCTTTCCCAACAAATCTAGTGAAGTATGAAGAATACGAGGTGTATTATGTGAGGCTTGGGAATCAAGATTACAGAGGTGCAAGGCTGAAAAGGCCTACTTGCAAAGCGAGGATAAATACCGTTCAACGCCTCTAGCTGTACTAATCAGGGAACTGAAAAACACAAACTGTTACAAAAAAACTTGTATCTCTCGTATAATCAGTCTTTTCCTTATTAACACTAATAGCTACCAAGCAGACATAGGTTCCAAAGCTCTCGTATTTCGAAAACTGACTGAAGGATCCGACGAGTTGCTCGCATGAACAAAATTTGATAGATAGAATTTGGGACTACTTATGTCATCAGCTAACCTTGTCTAAAAAAACTCCGACCATTCCTAACTCACTTAAACCCTGTGAGTATACCTTTCGTAGCTCGATTCGTCCAATAGGCCTGTGCGACCAACAAGTAATTATCGGGTATAGAAATGTTGCTCACCATAATCTAAGCCATGTAGAACACGCGGGGCACTGAATATCCCAACCGGTTTGTCGCCAGAAAGTTAAGTTGAACCTTAGCTCTCAGGCGACAATTCAATCCTGTTTGAAATCGCTTCTGCTGTGCTGAGTGGTGCACTACTTCCAGGGTCAGTATCGATGCGCCTATCATCGGTCGTGTTAGAGTCAATTTATCTACTTCGGTCTCAAAGATGTTTCTCTTGCCCATAAAAATGATACATTTGAAACTGGAGTCTCGCTAACATGAGATCTCCAGTATGGTTATTTTAAGTGGGCTCCCCAGGAGATATGTCTCAATACAGAGTAGCTTTATTCTCTGGACTAGGTCTCGTTATCCGTGTGTTTGTTAGATATTTTAGCCTCATCAATGGCACTGTTGGTGTTATTAAATCGGCTACTTTGTGTTCGTATAAAAGAGAAGTAATGTGTATTTTCAAGCTCCCGACAAGGTAGGCTTGTCATCCCAATTTAGTATCAAATCTTTAGCTTCTTGATGTGAGAAGATGGATAGAAAAGAACAGAAGATTTTAATTAAAGTCTCTACTAAGTCGAAGACTATGAGGAACGATTAGATGGAAAAATATTTAAAATAGTACCTCCCTTTAATTGTTGCTAGAAGTAGTTTGCTTTTCTAAAATATTTTCCGACATCAGCGTGTATCAACTTATTTAGTCCTTCATTGTCATAGACTCTGTAGGGACATGAATTTTGTTCTATTTGATTCGATTTCATTTAGCCCGTTCAGGAACCCTATGGGCCCATGCAGGTATATCTAGCTATAATTTTTAGAAAGGAACCTAATTCTATATAAACCTCCAAAGCTGTCCCTCTCATGTCTTTTGGTTTGTCTGAGGTTTCCTACAAGAAGCGCGTTTACAATTTGATGATGTTTTTATTGTACTACTTAAGTCTATGCCTATCTAATACATTGGGCTCCTTTCTGGTACAGGCCACACCTTGTACAGTACCTCTTGCCTCTCATGTCTCTTGAAAGATCATTGATAAATTCCCCTTGATGAATAGCCATTCAGCTAAGTATTTATCCGTCGAACTTAGCTGTTTTTCCACGGAACCTTCTACCCAAAAAAAAAAAAAAAAAAAAAAAAAGGTAGCAATGGAAACTGCGTGCGCGGGAAAAAGTCTCAAAAAACCTGCAGCCCCAGCCAGGCGATGTCTAGACACCAGGACCACATGAGGTGCGCATATTCATCTATATTTCCCTTCTTTGTAACAGTCGAGGCCGACTTGATCCAATCCGCAATCTCCGTATCGGGTGCTGGGTACGCTCTAGAAACTCATCGGATGGCTTTTCCTCCATGATAAAGGGTGGACAACGAGAAGGAATTCGACCCTTCCATCTGATCTGATCGTGGTTAGCTTCATGATAGTGGTGATAGGGGAATGTGTTGAGAGATGAAGACGATACAGACCGCGAAAGCGATTGGGAATCCTCTTCGAAGTGAAGACTTTGTTACTCAATCTCGGCTCTGCAGACTCTGCAGTGATAGCTGGAGGTTGGTAGGGGACACCACTGACAGGTGTTGAGAAAAGTACCCGTATATTTTCAGGGAGAGGAAGGGAGACACATCACTCGCTCCGTGTATGACATGAGTAAAGGACACTGGCATTAGCTGTAGAGGGCTGGGTTACTCGTCGAATGCGATTGATGTACATAAAATGGGAGAATTTTATCGAATATTTATTAAGTCTTCATAAGTATAACAATTGTTATTTCGTTCCAACAGTCAAATCTCTGTACGTGGAGATTTCGACCAAAACTTGCCCACATCACTCTTCCTGATTGACATCTTGACTAAATTTCTCAAATACACCCCTTTCCGTGACTTTATATCAGTTCCGTGAGAATTGTTCGCAAGCCGTTTTGAATAGTACACCGCGGAAAATTATTCGGCCTTCGTGCTCCCATCTGTATCAGTCAGCAAGCAAAGAATGGATTCTACGAACCTTTCTATTTGAGACATATTTATTTAACCAATCGTGGTATTAATTAATAGAAGCCGAGAATTCAATAGTGTCGGGCGGATCGTTATTCATTCCCATGGATAAATTTTTCTTGTGTCCTTTTCTTTACGACACGTTAGTCCCGAATTACTGCCCGGCTAGACACAAGGACTGAGAAAGAAAATTATTTTTCTTTTCAACCTTCAAGAGAGACAATCTACTTTGTTAGCTTTGGAGGAGAGATAACAGAGGGCCAAGTGCTTCTCTTAGTGTATGATCGAATGAGGACTAGTGATGGATGTTACTGTCTCAGAGAAGCTGCATGGGGGGCACAAAAAGGGATGTACCATTAGGTAGGTATCCTTGGCCTATAGGCGGAGAGGTCCTACAAGTCTTGCACAGTCATTGACTGATAAATGACAATAATATAGTTAAATAAAGGTAATCTACATCGAACGAAATACAGCCGCAGCCCTCAATGCGACTCAGCCTTTCGTAATTAAAGACTAAGTAGGGACTAAAATTATATTCTGTTCATGCAACTAGGGTTGGAGTCGGGAAAGAAACAGTTAGCCACGAGAGCTGATCGTAGCTAAACTACTTCACAGTGAGTTTCCACAAATTTGTGGATTTTAGCATTTTACAAAAATTTAACGTATTGTTCGATGTGGTGACTTCGTGATACATACAAGACTCTCGTCTATAGTGGAGATCCTAGCGCGCGTCTAGAAAAGTACACTAATGCAGTATTAATCTAACACTTGGCACTCTCGAATTAGCTGTCAAATCTAGGAGCGTCCCAGTATCTTGCGTGTCATATTCATTCTAATGTGAGCAGAGTTACACATCAGTCAGTTTGGGGTGAGATGTCTGTAACGGCCAGGCGGCTATGTAGCTCGAACTATTTTGAGAAAGCCCTACTTGCCGTTTCCTAAAGTTACAGGGATCTACAGCTGCGCAGTTTGAACCCCCAGCTGGATCCATCTCATTTGCATACCTACGCCGTCCTATGAATAAGCGACCACAGGCTGTGCTCAACGATTGGTCGGATAAAGAATACCATGCTCGATATCGCAAGCTAGATCTACCCATGCGTCGACAAGAGCCACTAGAGCTGGCACTTTCAAAGTAACTACTCTGCGAAGTTATTGCAGTCCATATGGGCCACGGCAACTTCGCGGCCTCTCGTCGCCGTTTCAACAACACAGAAGCCCCTAGCGAGTGCGCGTTTGGAGAGGAGACCAGTCCTAATTACCTTGTACACTGCCCGTTTTATTGAAAAGAAACCCGTCAAATGACAGGCATTAAGACCCACTGTGACTTTATACGCGGACTTCTCGGACCCAAGTGCCTTGAAAACTTCCGAAGTTTAGCATAGGAAACTCGATGTTATGGGAGCTTACTTGCGGGTCCGCCATCTGCTCTCAGTAAGGTTCGAAGAAATTAGCCATGAAACATGATTTATTAGGAAAGGGAACGAGGAAAGGAGTTTTATTATTATTTCTAATCTTAATTGTTGCTTTGTGGGATTTAACTGGCTGCTATTTCTATGGTGAGAACAAGTTGGGCGTGTCATAGATATGATCTTAGCTGTGAACACCAGTCCTTGACCCTTAGGGATTAACGGGTATACTCTATGACCGTAAAATAAACACATACACACAGCTTCCCTGTCACTCTCTTTCAGCAATCATGCGGCCTGAACTTGTAAGTGAAAATTATAGAAGCACCATTGCAAAACTTTGTGCAGTGTGAGATTACAATTGGAGTTAGAATTTAAATTAAACAATTCCCTACGCACCCAATAACTTCGAGACTCAAGATTCCAAGAGTCACGAGAGTTGAATTGAATGACTCCGTCGTCTGATTCTTCACTCACGTCATGAACTTAATTTTATATTTTGATCATTTCCACATGTAAAATCCGACTCTTTCCCTAGATATTGCGTGTGAGTGGAGCGATTGTGGATGAGCACGAACTTGTCTTGTATCTGTTTGATTTGGCGCATCAATGCCGCCGGTATCAAGGGCTAAAACAAGCATAAATCTAATTTCTATTAAGATGACACGCCTCAAGAAAAAATGATATAATTACATAGACCCTTACACAGAATATACTCAGACTTCACATCGAGAGATACTAATAACCTTACCTATTCTCTTTCTTCGTTACAGTGACTGCATAGTATACTTCTACAACACTGTCGAGCTTTTCAAATTCAAACTGATATTAGCTAAATCTTGATTTTCTTGCCAAATCCATCACCTTGATCATGAGCGACGTGTCAGAAGCATCCCCTGGAAACCCGCCGCAAGAGAAGTCCAAACAAAAGTGCCGTCCACCAGTCTCTGGGACGGAATTGGATTTGCGCGCCAATCGCAAAAACGCGCAGACGGCACTAAGGAAATCACAACAGCAAGAGAGAATATACGTGACTAAAAAGCAGGCTAGTTTCGCCAAATCCGAGGCGCACAAAGCTAAGATGCACTTTCGGCTATCCCAGAAGAATTTTAAAATCGCAGTTGTGTGCACCATGAGTGCCGTTCGAAACTACCCCGCTATAATCCGAGAAAAGATGGATGTGAAGAGGCAAAAAAAAATGGAGAGAAACGTGGTCAAAGCTGAGAATACTCGAAAGACATTGGAAGAAATAGCAGGAAAGCGATCTAGAGCCCAGAGTACTGCCTAATAGTTTCTAAATCGAATGGCAGATGATGTGATGGAGACAACGAATCCGGCTTCATCTTGTTTTGGATATGGGCTCCTTGACTAAAGTATCTTTGCTGCATTACTTATATCGGCACGAAATCTCTAGATTCGCCACACCTCTTACAACGACAACTTAGTCTGACAAGAAAGGCTGCCAACCTCCAAATATCTTTAGTCAAGCCCCTAGTCAATCATAATCTGGGAACCGACAAACATATACACATGGATTAAGTCGAAAGTAATGAGTCTTGCTGTCTAATAACAGCTCATAAAGTCAGGTCGGGGTAGACACGGGAGTGCATGATTCTGCCATTAGAATTCACGCGAGCTGTACCTGGAACTTATGAGAATTTCGCCAAAGAAAGACCCGTCACCTTTTCCGCTGGTTAATCCTTGGTTCTCAATTTTTTGATTCCAATTTTCAATAGGACTATTAGCTGAAATTGGGATGGAAATTGTAGTAGGAAATGAGAATAATCGTGAAAAGAGCCGTTAAATGACTAGGGTTTTGCGAGTTTGGCGACAAAGGGATCAGCGGGGTTCTAATAATGATGGTCATGGGTTAACGAGCTAATCCAAGTAGCTATCTGTTATTTTGGGAAACAACTAGCGCGAAACATTCAGACATGACATGGTCTTGATGATAGGATTTATAGAAAGTTTATTACGCACAGCTTAACGTCTTATGATTATGAAATTAATTTTTTCAATAATTTATCACAATTGAATGTTCAATATCTATAAATATATCTGTTCTTCTTGTCCTCTTAAGCCTATAAATACTTCAGGACATTTAGGTCCTGTCTGCCCACAGGTCCGGGGTATTTAAGCCATAGGCTGCGTACTACCTCATATGCTGTCGTGTGGAGAAATGATTCATTCATTGCCTAATATTGTTCCAACAATCATGACTAGATCTAAAAGTCATTCATAGTCATGATTCATCGATTTTCATGGGTATAACATTCATGACTATTTCTCAATGGTAGGAGAGACATAGATGACAGGTTACTATAGACCTAGTCAAGATCCTAAACACACAACTGAGGCTAGAAGAATTTTACTGAATAAGTAATCATTCAAATAAAACTAGTTATGGAGGAACGCAATCTAACTGTTCGGCTTTCAAAGTTTATAAACCTGTGTTAAGATTATGAGCACATACGGTTTGAATCTCTATCTTGGAAGGATGCTATATGAGTTTGAAGAACAACAACGTAGATATAGAAAAGACTTGTGTTAACTGAGGAACGATTGTATTCAGATGACTTTTTCTTGCTCCTACTGCTAGGAGATACATCTCATAATATATATGTCCTAGATAGCCATATCACAGTTCGTACACTATCCAGTACATTCCTTTCCATTCTGCTCTATACTATTCGATCCCTCAGCATTCCATTACAAATCTATGATGCCCTAATTATGGGTTGCCCTCAAGTCCATGTCCTTGGACTTGCATGAAATATTGGCATGCATAAATCTGCACAGATCTGGGATCTCTTGGCAGATTATAACAACTTGAGCATATCCTATATAGTAAAGTACATAGAAAAATCTATTAGAAGTTAGAATAATTGGGGCTATCGAGTAGGCCACGTTGTTGATACACACGTGACTACAAATTCTGTACTTAGTTTCACTTCGGTAGTTACTTGAATCAATGCTAGTCATCATGTCACCTCAGGGATGAGGCTTTAGTTATAACCAGTGCCCGGTAGACATAAAAAATAAGTAAATAAATACTTCAATCAATGCGCTCTACAACCTCAATGACTGTGGGGTAATTATTTCCTTGATAAAATCTCTACCAATCTCGATAATCATCTGAATTAATGTCACCATCTATAGCTACAAAGTGCAGTTTCAAAATTTATCTATGCCTCCTTCGCGCTATATTTCCAGCAGTAATTACCTCATAGGTCTTCAATTTATTACACACTTGAAGGAACCATTATTCCGTCATTATATCCTTCTATAGTCAACAAAACGATGGCCATATGCGGGTGTGTAGCTGCAGGGAAAATTCTCAAAAACCACTGGGTGCGGGGCTCTCCTATGACGAAGAGGCCGGCCAGCCGGGCGCAGCAGACCTGTGTATACCTAAGAGCGTCTCTCAACCCTCCTAGCCTCCTCATTACTCCTCCTTTGATTCATGCCGCAGGACAAACCGAAGGTCGAAAAAGGATGTTAGAAAAGTCTTGGTCGAGAGTGACTCTTGTGAAGGAGCCTAGCCTAGCATCCAAAAGTCGTTACGGACGTGGGGTTGTCGAGTAACTCATGTAATTAAGATGATCTCCTGACGAGTAGATTCGAACTTGAAGTTAGAAGAGACATTATTTTTGACAGGTCAAAATCTGCTTTTCTTAAGGGCGGATGAGTCTTTTACTTTGCTTTTGTGGGCCTTTTTGACTATCGCTGTAGTTTTTGTTACGGAATTATCTCAATTGTTTTTTCAGCATCATCGTCGTCATAAGAACTATCGAGAGCCTATCTGTGAGGGACGGGGAGATAATCCAGCTCAAAGTCGAAAAGGTGACTTAATTTCAACTATGTAGATTCTTAGCTGATAGCTGGAGGTTCATAGGGCACACTGATGACAGGTGTCGAATTTTCGCCCCCGATCTCTATCTTTTTTTTTTTTTTTTGCATCAGATTTTAATTGCATATGCAGCTATCTAGCTATGACACAATATCAAAGAAAAGTACAGAATAGATGATTCATCGTAAAGGAAGAGCACTCATGCCTCGGATTTCATTTGCAAGTACCACTGCGAAGTTATGGTGGCTTTTTCTTCACCACAAGTCAATCCTCATCCGTGAATACCCACCCAGGGGAACGTCTCAAAAACCCTGGGTTATCCAGACATGCCTCCGTCATCCATCAACTTTTCTCCGCGCGAAATGCAATCTGAGATGTCTCCTTCCCAAGTGGAATAGGTGCATAGGCCACTTAGACTATACCAGAGAACACCACCAGGAGCCGGACTACGGCACCTTCCATCGTTGGCTTGTGTTTATAGTGTCAGCTGCACTCTCGCGAGCGAAGTCTTGGCGCGCACAAAGCCCAATTCGTAAAACTCCTTGCCAAAATTCGGAATTTCACTCTCTTCAAGGTAATATCCCTCCTTTGCATCATCTTGTAAACTTGTCCTGATTCCTCTCACGTCCATCCCAAAGAACTGTCTCCCAGATTTGTGCTCCACGCTTTGCTTCCTCCGTCGGGTATAAATATCGGCGTGGGCGTGTATTTGGTGACCAGCTGAGGCCAGGGAAAGTCGACGAGAGGTGTGGTCATTGAAACTTGGATGTACTAGGTCGTACTTGTAGACTTAATGAAGATTAGTTGAGAATCGGACTCTTTGGGAGTGAAAGATTAACATGGTGGAGTAATTTGAATTTTTGCCTCGTGGGCCAACTTCTTTGACATTGCGAAATTTGACTGAACTTGGCTCTGGGAGAATATTTCACTCCCAGGTTCGTAGAGGACACTGCGTACAGGTGTTCAGTCTTGCCCTCCCCCCGATCTCTATCGCAGTTACTTGAAGAAAGTGCTTTCAGAATTAAGACTCTTGACTTCGACCCCTTGGCTAATGTTTACAGAGGGTTCGTATCCCTACCTTAACATGTAATTTTATCGTCATTCAGCATCTTTCAATAAGAGCATACCACGTGATACTATCATGTTCCCCACTCTATAGTCCCAAAAAAGATCCACATATTTAAATCTGATCGCCTTCGCAACATCCCCTCCATTCCGAGGCATTGGATCAGCCTGTTACAATTATGTCGTTATCAGAAAGTCTTCTTTCAATTTTGTCACCAGTCGGGTTAGTTTCAGCGAAAAATCTAATTCCCGCGAAGACTTAAACTGTTAATACTACCTTGGACCACCTCGAGAATAAGCTTATTTTCCGTTTTCTTGCTTCACTTTTTATCCTTTCACCTCTTGTCTGTAACTCAATACTCTTCTCTGATGAGTTTCATCCAATTTTCATCTGACTATGCGAATCATTCAAATACCAAACTAGATTCATGGTCTTGCTCTTTAGCCTCACATTTTGCTTATATCCCTACCATGCTCCTTACCGTACCTTTATTTTAATACTTCTCTTATTTTAGTATTTAATTGTTTTAAGTATTATTTTTCATTTATTTTGCCATGATAATAATCTGTCGTATACCTCCACCTAATTAGGAGAGCTGACAAGTGTCTACTAGGTACCGTTATAACAGTTGCGGTTACTGTAAAAAAAAATCTGGGAGTGAGTCTTCAAAGATAGAAATCTTATCTTCATCAAAACATATCAGAAATTATGATAGTCCGTCACGAGGATAATTGTTCAAACCGATCTTAACTCTTATTTTTCTCGTAGGCTGTGCATATTATGCAAATGCAACTGATTTGTCCGTGGAATTATATCAAAAGCTCTTAGATCGTGGGTGGCGTAGGTCTGGTAAAGTACTTTACAAACCAGATTTACGTGCATCATGTTGTCCTCAGTACACCATTCGTCTTGACTCATCAGCCTTCCGCCCATCGAAAGACCAGCGTCAAACGCTGAACAGATTCAACAATTTTATAATCGGACAAACATATCGAACTGCTGCTGCTAGGCTTTATCCCAAGACTCGTGAACAGGCTCAGAGAAGGAAGCAAGAATTTGATTTGCTAGAGCGTATTCACGAAAGTGAGCAAGGTTTTTTGAATATTCCACCTGAGCTTGCACACTCATTTAAAGTCACTCTAGAAACCGACGATTTCACAGAGGAGAAATTTAAGCTCTATGAAAACTATCAAAGTGTCGTGCATCATGATCTAAAGTCTGAAATATCAAGAATTAACTTTAATCTTTTCCTCTGCAACTCACCGCTGCGACCTAGGACTGTTAGCAAGACTGAAACTCAAGATTTACTCGGATCATATCACCAATGCTATCGAATTGATGGAAAGCTAGTCGCTATGGGAGTTCTTGATCTTCTGCCTCATGCCGTCAGTGCAGTTTATTTCATGTATCACGAAAGTGTTAATGATCTTGGTTTCGGGAAGTTAGGTGCTATGCGAGAGATTGCTATGGCTAAAGAGTCAGGCTATCGGTGGTGGTATGCGGGATTCTATATTCATACTTGCAAAAAGATGCGTTATAAAGGAGATTATTCACCACAGTATATTCTAGATCCTGAATCATATCTCTGGTATTTATTTTCCAAAGATATCAAAAATCAGCTAGACACGAGTAAATATCTGGGATTTTCGAAGGAAAAAAGTGAAGCCAGTGAACATTTATCGAATGCAATATCAGCATCATCTCCATGCGAATCTACTGAACAGGAAGGTTCTACGGCTAATAATAGAATTAGTGACTTGGATGAGGATGATGTGCCAGTTTTTGCGACAGGCATGCCGGGTATTCTAACCAGAGATGAACTCCTATCCCAAGTCGACCTCAACGAAGTCATCATTGAAGTCGATAATATGCGTACTAAAGCAAGTTGTCTCATCGGCTGGCAGAAGAGTAACATTGATTCTAATCTCTCAGTCAAAGGTTTCATAGCAGGACTAGTCGCTACAGTTGGTCCCGACCTGTTATCTAAGATCGTTATTAAACTTCGATGAGAATAGTATCATTCGACCTTATTCCGTTTCGTAACTCTGGATCTACACTTGGGCTAAATTATCTAGCTCTTTTTTAAAATATCGAAAGGGTATCTGCTCAGAGTATATAATTCACATCACTCATGATAGAAAATAAATTTCCTTCCAACAATTTCCATATCAAGCCATGTAGGTAACCTCAGATTCCTGGAAATTTCAAGATTCTCGATAATCATGTTATTTTGATTAATCTTGATGCGTCTGGACGCCTGGTTTGATTTATGACTTTTATCGAAATATGCCAAACAAAATTGACAAATCTTCAGCTTGCTCAGGAATATTTTCACAAAACTTGGTAAAGTTATAACCGATAGAAGAAGTTGCATCTTTTTACTTCTCATTCACATTGACCATTCTATAGAAGAGTGAGCTTTATTAATTCCCCTGAATTGTTCCTATTACTCTAGAATATTCTGATACAATCTGTAATATATCTAGCTGGGACATGCAGGAAATAAGGGTAGAGGGCATCTTTTTTTGCGATTTTTAGGAGCTCACAAACCTCAGTTAAGCCTGCGGAAGAAAAATAAATTACAGAATGGATGGTGAAATGATATATCATCCGAACCGAGCTCTCACATATAGTCTGGATCGCTTGTTCAAATCCAACTATATCCGATCACATATCTATTAGTGCTGATGTTAATTAATTATGAAGGCATGCTTGAATATTCAAGGGTTTAGAGATTTTCTATTTATTGTGTTTATTGTCCAATTGAGTCTATGACTAAGTATGAAATTACTGAAACTTCAGTGATAAGAGAACTAACGGAGGAGAGTCGACTGTTTATATAATCAAGCATACCTCATAGTGGTATTTGCAAATGATATCCAAAGTATGAGTATCTTTAATGTCGAAATAGACACCCAACATGTATACATAGAATTGAAATTAGTTCCGGAGATTAGAAGAGTGACATACTAGCCTTGAGTTTGATTTAGAGATATGGTAAATGTGTTAACTATGCAAAGAAGTTTACTGATATTTAATCAATAGTTAATTGTGAATATATTGCTATGATTTTTTTTTTTTACATTTGGTCCTAAGCTAACGCTATCTTTTCCACATTGGGTCAAGGACCGGTGGAGCCGGCAAGGATCACTGCGTACAGGCCCAACTCATTCCAACCGCATGAACTTCTACTGAAATTGTAGAAGTTAACAGCAAAACTAAAATCAAAAACATGAATCAAAAACTGAAATCAAATTTGGAAGAAATACTGTTTGGTCCGGATCCCGCGCTTCTCGCCCGTTCCCTTTCCTGCCACATCTTCAACGTGACTCTTTCTTATTTCCGCTGAGAGCGAAAGATTAGTTCGCAGATAACCTGAATTCAGCTGGTATCCTGCCATATATTTTGAAGCTATCTGTAGACTTCACCGAAGGTTGCTGTACCCTCGAACTTCTTCTTCGGATTCCAGGATTCCGAAACCCGATCCCTCGGCCATCGAGACATCCTTCGTTGAGGCCATCGTTGCCTCTTCGGCCCTTTTGGCTGCAGCCCTAAATCGAGCCACTTTCGCGAACTCCCCTTGCTGGATCTGGCGAATCCGCGCGAGCTGCTCTTTTGTCACCGGTCCGGACTTGCTGGGTCTGGCTAAGCAGGCCCGGGAATCCGATCGGTGACGTCCCCCACAGTTTCGACACCGGGTGAGGGCCTTGCACTCTGATTCTGAGTGCATATTAGATCCGCAGTTCCAACAAGCTGGAGCGCGGGAACAGCCACGGGTGGCGTGAAATTCAAGACACCGTTTGCATTGTTCGATTTTGCGACGAGGTCGGAAGAGCTTTGCAGCTCCAGAGTCGTCGAAAAGGCGGAATCCAGGTCGAGGAGCGGATTCTCGTGGAAATAGCGCTTGCCAATTTGAGTAGGGCGCCCCTGGTTTGCTAGTCCCATGAGGATGAACCAGAAAGGGAACCAACTGGGTCACTCGCGTGACTTCGTCGGCAACCATCTTTGCCGTCACGGCGATTGGGCCAGCAAGAGTTCGAATTGTCTCCGGGACGGTGGCAATTTGCATGGCAACCAGATTTGATACTGGTTCCAGTTTGATTCCAGATTCGCTCCGTGATGTGGAGGAATCTAGGAGCTCTGTTCGAGCGAGTTCATCCTTTGCGGTTATTGCAAAGCCGGTCTTTACCCGCTGAACCAACGTGATATTGTTGGCAGCGGTTCCCAGCGCCTGAGACACCGCTAGCCTTGCTCCAGCTGGAGAAAGGAGACGGTGGGGATGGAAATGGTCAAGGCGCAGAAAAAGTCGTGAATCGACTTTTCCACTCGAGTTGGCACTTTTTGCTTTCTGGCCGGGCGGTGCTGCCTTTTTTGTCGATGGCCCAGCGCTACTGACTAGGCCTGCCCGAGCTACGGTGGCCCAAGTTGTCTTTGGGGCCGGAGCCTGGGTTTTCGTAGAGTTAGGTGCCCTAATTTCTGGAGCCCTCGGTGAGAGAGGATTGGCGGGGCGGGCAGGAAGGACTGGTGGTGTGCTTCCTGGACTGGATTGAACGAACTGGCCAATAGCTGCTCGTAGGTAGACTTTTATACCGTCTACGAATTCTTTATTTTCGCCGATCGAAAGAGGCGAAAGTGCTGCTTCAACACTGTTTATCGCAGTCGAGCAGATGGCGAGGCGGGCCGTAATTTGCGTCGTACGTCGCTTTTCGGCCTCCATCACGGTTTGCAGCTCCGGAGGAAACTCCATTGCTGATGTCGATGCTGCGCCTTTTGAGGCTGGCACAGCATTTTTTTCGGCAGACGATTCTGCACGTTCGATCGTCCTTTCTCTGACGATCTCCTTTCCTTTCCTGGAGCTGCTTGCCTCGAGGGCAAGCTCGGCGGGTTTCGCGGTCTGTTGACTGTTCGTTTCTGTTCTGATCGGATCAGAATCAGTCATCTCTTTGTCGGGAAGGGTGGAAGACTTCCCTGGGACAAAGGCCTTACTCGCAAACAAGCTTGATAATTTTTGCGCGAGGCCAGGAGGTTTTGGACACATGTGTGTCCGTTCAAAGCCGACAGAAATGGTCGACTTTGGACGTTTGCTCTTCATCGGAGGCATTTTGGGACGCCTTTCGATGGTCATCAATTCGAGAACTCAAGCACAGGAATAATCATGAGAAGGGAAAAGGGAATTAAGAAATTTACGAATTTCTCGAATTGTGCGTTTTTTGTTCATTAACGTGCTAGGTGAAGTAACTACCGTCGCACTCCAACTGGAGCTTGAGCACGAGTAGGGTCGGGCCGGATCAGGTTAACTACCGTGCAGTACAAATGCCTCGTCCCACCTAAATGACCGGAACCATGCCAAAATGCATCTATGTGTTGAACCATGACAAATTCGGCAGCCCAGAATTGAAAACAAAACAAAAACTTTCCCGCAAAATCCCACATTACAAAAGAAAAACTTCAACAATCTCCCTTCCACTGTTCCGCCTCAGCCACCACGCGCCTGAGCCTCGAATCTAATCTCTCTATCCATGCCAAACCACCAAGGCCTTTGATCTATCACCTCCGAGTCACAGGTATCCCTGCCATCCCCCGACTAGCCTCCGCGTATATTCCACTCTCCTGGAAGTAGTCCCTGAACAGCTGCCATCCCCTTGATCCAAGCATTAATTCCAGAGCCGGCGCCCTACGCTTTCCGCTTTTCAGCCGCCATGTTGCCAGTGCTTTTCGACACTGGACAAGGTGACCAATTGATTTTTCCCTCCCACACTCGCAGTTAAGTGTAGCGTCAGCGTGATTGAAGCGGCGATGATATGCCGCAAAGTCTCCATGTCCGGTTCGGGCAGCGATCAAGCGTGCGAAGACCGCTCTAGGTATCGCTAGCTCTGGCGGTTTCTTACGCCGCATCTCGAGTTCAAGATCGGCGTAGTGTTTGGGGCGATTCAAGTGCCACCAGTCCGTCAACATCTGCCTGACCACTTCACGGGCTTTCCGTCCTGTTGAGGCGAGGGTCATCACACCATGTGTCGTCCTAGAGTTGTCCGGCGAGTTAAGCTCTCTTCGAGCGAGTTCATCGGCGATTTCATTTCCTGCTAGCCCTTCGTGGCCCGGAATCCATCCTATTTTGACAGGCGCGGCTGATCCCTCGGCCAGTTTCACGAACTTTTGGATACGCCAGGATGATGAGCCCGTTGTTCCCGTCAGTAAAGCCTGAACAGCCGCAGAATTGTCGAGAAGGATGTAGATAGCGCTGCGTCCTCGATCTCGATTGCTGGCAGTAATTGCTTCTATAGCAGCCAAAGCTCCATGGACCTCTGCGTCGTAGACCTCCGCATTGGTAATTTTGCCTGACCCGCTTTGCTCGATTGTCGTACCTGTGCCACCGATAAAGGTCACAAAGGCCCATGACACTTTGTCGGCGAACGCCCCAGAACCATCACTGTACACGTAGAGACAGTCGGGTGGGAGTGTAGGCAGCCACTCTCTTATGAACTTGGCAGCCTCTTTCTTGCTTGTCCAGCAGGGAATTGGCTGAGGGGGGACCGGAGGTCGAAGCGGTGGAGGTAGTTCAGCCTCTGGCAGAAGTCGATACATCTTCTGGACCCTCGAATCATGAACTCTGTCCAGACCAAGTCTGGTTTTGTTGCATGTCTTTAGTCCAAGTCGGTGGCGAGCGCTGTCTGTGCTTTCCGTGGCCCGAAGTCGAAGCGGATGGTACTCATCTAGTCTTCGGATTCGTGCGGCAGTCTTGAGCCTGCGTTCCTCGAGCAGAATGTGTGCTGGCGGAATACCAGTCTCTCTTCTCAGGGCTGCAATAGGCATCGTGCGCCAGGTTGGTAGAGCCATGCGGATTCCTGTTAGAGTATAGAGAAGACTTCGGAGTAAGAATTGCCTGAGAACGGAGAAGAAGTTCAGTTTGCTTAATTGACTAATAGACTACAGGTATTATGATATATACAGTGGAATTATAAGAAATAGAGGTTACCCGGAGCCGACTCGACTGCAGAAATAAGTGGGACCC